TCAAATGAAAAAGAGTTCATTTTTTTCAGTCTACACTTGCATAAGGACAAAGCTTTCCAAGGGAAAAAAGCTACAAGTGTTAAAGAGTTTTAATCCTCAAAATAGCATAACTCAAAATATAAACATTACGTTTTACAAGGCTTATGGGTCACTCCAATCAACCAACTCTAAATGACAGGTATCTATACAAATATGTAATTTAGAATAAAATTGAATGGATAAGAGATGTAAGATTAAATTCAATGTTATAAACAATCATATATATCAGGAATCAACATTACAATAATTCAATTCAATTAATTGTCTAGAAAAATAGTCACAGCAGGTCTCCCTGTGAGTCCTCATGAAATAGTCAAATTATCATTTATTCATCGTTTTCTTACTGAATCTCGGTGATTCAATAATGGGGATTGGGAATTGCAAATGTAAGTGGAGGCACATAATTTCCAAATGTCTCCCACCCTTGCTATGGGAATAATGCGGCAGATTAAAATGACACTGTTGTATGAACTACCATATACTCACAAAACATGGCGATTCCACATAAATAGTGGAAGCAGTACTGGATAAACCGGTGTAAATAACCTATTATTCTGCAGGGCTTCTTACAGAATATTATATAGAAATATTGTGTTTGCAGTTTCAACATGATAGAAATATCATACATGATACATGATCATTTTAACTTATCTGCTATGAATTGTACTAACCAAAAGTGAAATCCAATATCTTAAGTTCCGTGTTGCCTAGCTATCTTGTATATAAACTTCATTTAATTTTAAAAAGTACAATTCATAGCAGATAAGTTAAAATGATCATGTATTATGTATGATATTTCTATCATGTTGAAACTGCAAACACAATATTTCTATATAATATTCTGTAAGAAGCCCTGCAGAATAATAGGTTAGGTCATCTAATAATAGGTCATCTATCTGTTGAACAATTGCTAGAGACATAATGGAACTTTACACCTATAAAGTGTGTGTTTTATCACTGGTTCTTTTCTTTTTCTACTTGACCACTAAGACATAATTAAATGGAATCTCAGCTTATCCTGAGGGCTTCAACAATGGTCCAAAGCTGATGGTGATGAAATGAATTCATTCAAGGTGGCAAATTTCCAGGGAAGTTTTATATGGATAGACTGGACTTAAGTTCCATAAGACTTCCCAAGTAATTCATATTAGGGTATAATTCAGCTCCTAAAGCCAAAGAGGTTTCAAGTGAGGCAATTCCATCAGGAATTTCACTATCACCCAATCCATTTATCTACACCACAGATAAAGAATGGTTGCATTTAAATCAAGCAACGCAATTACAACATCAAATCAATTCTGAATGGACAGTAAAAATTAAAACTGTAAACACCTCCGCCCCCCACATACACACTTTCGTGTGCCAACTTTAGACAGCCTAAAAATTCTGATAGAAGAAAATTAGGAACTTCATGTTGTTCAATAATCTGGATCTGGATTTTCTGTAAATTCTTTGGAACTTCCAACATGAATTTTCTAATTTTCTTCTATCAGAGTTTTAGATTGCCTAAAGTTGGCATGAGAAAGTGTATATGTGGGACAGGGGGAGGAGAGTTTATAGTTTTAATTTTAATTTTGTATTTTGATTATATCAAAATGTTTAGTTACAAAAAATGCAGGGCACCAGATTAGGAAAAGCTGTTATAAAACAAGCTTAAGAAATGCATCTGATGATTGATCTGTATTGAATAATACCTAATACTGGTGAAGGAATCCTTGTTTTAGACAGGGGGGTGGAAGAGGAGAGGAGAGAAAGAATAATGAAACATTATTCTGTCAGCTGCATTAGCACGGTAGAGTATTACTATATTACAATGTCCTAAATTATTGGAAAGAACTTGATGTATATGAAGGCCAACTCCATTTAAAGAATTGTGGTTTTACATTGTTGGAGATTCTCTTTCTCCTCCTCCTCAGTGAGGCACTACCTTGAAGTCCCTTTAGGGTTTGCATGCCCTGAGGAAGATGAAAGCTATGCCACATGTTCAACTATACTGGACAGGTTTCATCTGAGTGTCTTCCATAAATAATATGGTGAGACATAATTTGAAAATAATAATTTATCCATACCAAAACAATTGTTACCCAGATGAACAAGGACCATGCTAAGTATTGGAGTTCTTAGATATCTGTTAATGAATGAGCTTCAGAGCTCAGGAAGTTTCCAGAGCAACCAGCACCAGTAGCTGCAGGACTACTATAAGAAAAGCTCTTCACCTATCACAAATACAGAAAGATTAACACCATTGGCACTGACAAAGTTATCAGCAGTCAATTGCAAAGGCCAGCTTTATTTGCAAAAACTTACATCTGTAATGAAACTTTTAATACTACAAACAACATTGCCTTCCCAGATCCTTGGTAGGTGGAAGAAAATGCCAAATTATTCAAAACGTTTAATTGACTGTGTGACCAACCATAATAATAACCTTAAAACATAATAATCTAAGGATAAAACAAAATAGTAAAACTCAAATTTTGCACGCATAAACTTAGAGCAAATTCAGAAGAGATTATTCTGAACAAATATTTAAAGAATTACTATAAATTAAATAACTATCTTTTAGCCTTTGGGCATACAATTCTTCTAGGTTAGATTAGGGTAGATCAGTAGATGTGACTAGGATGAAAAAGTGGTAAAAGCCAAGATAAAAATGAAAGTGTGGTTTAAATTTAATTAAGTTTCTATGACCCCGCTTTTAAGTATTTAGTGATTTCTTGTTTATGTCACATTAAAATTTAGTGACAATTTTAAGAAAGATGGTGGTTGTATTTATGTCTTTCTATGGTCACCTGCAACTATTGAACACAATACGATGTACCCTCTACATCAGATTGAGTTCAATAATTACAGTCTCATTTATCTTTCACTTTGGATTTAAGATTAACCAGGACAGAATACACTATAATTATTTATCTTCCTAGCTTTAGGATGACAAAATTGAAACTTAAGGAAAAGATTCAAACCACAACCACCACATCATGATCATGATCATTTCATCTTATCTGGGATTAAAAAAAAATATTAAGGAAATTTAAGGAAAATATACCCTCATCCTCCATTGTAAAAGAACACATGACACGTATCCCTGCAATAGCTTTTCTAAATCAAGGATTCCTTTGCCAAGATTAGGCTTTCTATATTCAGACCCATCATCAGTGCATTTCTTAAGCTTGTCTTACAACACCCTTTCCTAACCTGATGCCCTGCATTTTTTTGCAACTCAACAGCACAGACACAACCTTCGTTCATGGGAAATTATGAAAGTTGATGTACAGCATATCTGTATGCCATCAGATTGGGGAAACTAATTTAGAACAAGCAGAAAGACATACATTATGTAGGATCTAGCTATCTCAATTCTGTGCATCCAGCTTTGAAAAAGATACCAAAACATAATGAAACAAGGCCACCCACAGGGAGACAACACAAGCCTCGTCCTATCTACCTGGCGCTGATCTTTATTTAAACACTTCAGTTCAAAGGAAGCCTTGGGCTGTTTGCCATCAAACATCTACTGCCAGGAAATTATGAAGAATCACATAATTAATTTTAGAAGAAAATGCCAGCAGAGAGTTGTAGTAAACATGGTTTTCAAAGAGATTGCTCTTCTTCCGGACATAACTTACAAAGAACAAATGCAAAACATTGCTTATTTAGGAAAAATAATCCCAGTGGACAAACTACCACAATGAAGATAATGTATAAAAATATTGTAATAATATTTTAATGTTACTTAGGTTTCATCTGATAACTTTTATTCTACATCATTTAGGTTTTTTTGTTTTAGTTTAATTAATCCTGCTTATAAATTGAAAACTCTATAATTAAAAAAAAACTTTTTAAAACTTTAAAATACCTCTCCCTTAAATACTTCTTCAGTTACAGAGTAGGTAAGCTATCTGGCAATACATGACAGGTCATTGATCAAACAGAGCATCTCTTTATCTAAGGTGAATTGCAAAAAGGAACTAGGTCTGTCCTATTTACATAACACTGAATAAATATAATTGCACAATTACCTACGTAGTGTGCTTTTTGGAAGAAAGAATATACAAATTTCTCTGTTATTATTAAGAGAGAGTTTGGTACAATTGGTTTTGTATTTCTACATTGTTTTCAGCAGGAATTTAACTGATTTAAAAAAATGACCTCATCGTTCTTATGACAGCCGAAATTTACCAGTGAGCTCCACCAGCTCTTTCCTACCCACTGATCAAAGTGAGTTAAATGAACAGCACTCTGTCTTTAAAATGTCATTATCTTTAACAAGAGTTCATTTCATGCAAAATGGATTTATAATTGCTCCAACAAAATAAAATCAACACCCCTCCCCCCAATATTCCTATATCATTATAGAAACTGCCATGGCAAAACTGATCAGCAGAAATTGCATTCACAGAATGAATGACTTGTTTTATAAAGTATACTTTATGAGAAGTGTACTTTATGAAAACAAAGCATAACACATATAAAACATTTTAGCTACATGAAGTACAATGAAGAAATACATGAAGTGCTTAAATTAATAATATAAAAACTATCAATGATAGAACAATAAGGTTACTTCTGCAGTTTGTGGCCTTTAAGCAAGTCACATTTAGACCAAAAAAGCTCAAGTGAAAAATGGCAAGAAGCGGAAGAAAAGGAAACAAGATAAATACTAAACTGGAAGTGGGTCTTAAGCCAGCTTTTAGATGAATACAATGGTAAGTAATTATGTCTATAACCATTTAGACTTCAAAATGCCAAGCAATCCCCCAACACAAAATAATTATTAAGCCACAGTTTTTAAAAACAACTAAACTGTTCTCCTTTCCAATATTAAATTGCTGCCATTAGCTTATTAATTTAAAAACAGCTTGATTATTTATCCAGTTCAAATTAAATCCTAAGGTTGGTGGGTTGATTTATAATTGTGTTTCTTTAACATCCTAGTGAAAGAGAAAAAGTATACTTACGCAGCCCCCAGCAAGAATTTCTGCTGGAAAAGGAATAGAACCATCTCTGTGCATAAATTTGTCTCTCACAAAATCATTTACCTTAAAAAAAAACATTAAAAAAACATATACAAACTTTTAAAATTAAAGTGTCAATATACATTTTCAAGTATAAATTTTAAGTAATATCAGCAGTACTGTGTGTATCTGTGTCCTTGGGTGGATTTTACTCACCTTGGAACAGATTTATAGGGGCGTGCATAAATGCAGAATAATGCCTACCATCCCTGTCCTATTGTCCCCAATTATTAGTTCCTATTTCTTATAGTTAAACTTATGTTTATTCTTATTTCTACTGTATTGTAAGCTTATGACAAAATAAATAAATAAATATAACACAAGAATTCAAGTATCAGAGGTTGTTTATACATAAAAAAATTAAGCTTTGCATCCATATATTTCTGAATTATACTTCAAAAAACCTACTACCGGTCAGTCTGAACTTAATGCTTTCTACAAACATATTTTTGAAGAAATATTTTGTAAAATTAAAATGTTAAAAATAAATTTTATTTTAAGCTATTACAATTTAATATTTGAATTGCTGTTTATTGGCAAGTTAATTAACATCTTAACAAGTCTCTTTTTCTGTAGTAGTCCAGTTAAATAAGCAATGAGGTAAAAAGTAGCAATAAAGTTTTCTGAATTTTTAAAAGTACGTAAAGGTCCTGCATCAAACTTTTAATTTGAAATTGCCACATGGAGGATTCTCACCCAAAATACAAAAGAAAGTAAACTACAAACATGTAACAACATACCGTACAAGTATAGTTTTGCCCAAGAAAAATATACCAATGCACACTTTAAGCATATAACCAAAATACTGAAAATTGAAAATAATACATTAAGAATGACTCAATGTTTTGCTCTAAACTTACAGTAAGCTTTATGGCCTTTTCTGGAGCTACCCCCAGGAGCTGCGGCAGAAGACCTATAAAATATAAAAAAATATAGCAGTTAAGTATACCAATAAAATAGATTGTTATTAATTTTGCTTCTTAAGGGGAATGGCATCTTAAGAGCAATTTTAAATTATTATGTTTAGCAAGATTATCTGTGTGGATACTATATAAAATACATTTTACATGTGCACATACACACATACACACATGCAAAATTCAGCATTGCTTTGATTCAAACAATAATTATATATATTTAAAAATGTGAGAAAATGATAAACATAATTGAAAAAACTCATGTTTTACTTAGCTTTACTTGGACTCTTATAAAAATACTGTATTAGTTCTTCTCCATATCTCCAAAACCAGGAAGGCAAAGTGGGCTGATAAACAGAATTAGAATGATTGCCAAAGATAGTTACTCTTTGCTTCTACAATTAAGAGTCTGTATTTTCTGAATTTCTGACTTCAACCTTCTTCTCTTATACTTACTCTCTTCTTTCACAACTACATAAAAACATACACAAAATAGATCCGAAAATTCCTGGTGTAACTTGCATTGTGGCATTTATTTATTTATTTGAATCATGTTCTGCCTTATATTATAATGAATACTCAAGATAGCTGGTAACATTTTAAAAAGACAGAAATTAATAATAAAGTAGCATTATAATTTATTTTTATAATAATGCTGTGAATATAGTTTGTGTAACAGGAAGCCATACTTCCAAAATACAATCTCATTTTTGCAATATCTCCTTATTCTAAGATGTAGGCAACTTGATGGTCTCCAGATTTCCACATGGAAATCTAACATGCTATAGTTAGAGCTGATGGAAGCTGACAGTCCAAAATACTAGAGAGTCAGATTATCTATTTTTGCTGCAGTGAAATTACATGCAGATGTACTACTTGACAGCTATTAGCAATATGCACATCTTCTACAATGTCCCATTGAATTCATTGGACTTTATTCTCAAAGAAGTATACACTGAAATCCAGTCTGTTGTGTAGAAAAACAAAATGTTACATCTGACCAGTTTTTAAGGGGTGGATCTAGATTGATAGCCATAAGACCCATGCTCAGTCCTTAGAATCTGGTTTTAAAAAGACCATATGAAAAAGATAAAAATTGTGACTTCCACTTTGCAGGGCTTTGGTGGCAGGCAGGAATCCACGATCGTGCGCGGTTTCTGCCTGGGCTCGCCACTGGAGCGCCCCGAGCCAGCTGGTTTCGGGGCTAAGCCACCCCCTAGAGGTGGTAAAGAGGGGGGAGATCACCAGCAGGGTCGAGGAGAACCGCATCTCTCCTCCTCAGATGGTCAAACTCCCTTTCCCGAAGGCGGTAGGAGCGGTGGTCAGAAATGACCACCTCAAAGAAGCACTCAACCGGAAAAGAACATGCAGGAGGAAGATAAGAAGTGAAAGTTTTGGCTGACCGGGATAAAAAGCAACAACTAAGGTACCCTGGAATTTAAATTTTATAAAAGATAACATCGCTCCCAAACAAGAGTCGCAAGCAGCAAAAGAAAGTGAAAAGGGAAAGTTTTTTTTCCTTCTCTCTCTTTCCTCACATTGACAATGAAGAGAGCTGAATAAGAAATAGGAAAAATCCGCTTTGGCACCAATAATTAAGCTGAAAATATAATTAAATGCCAAAGGGACAATAAAGATTTCTGGACACTAAAAAATCCTTTTTGTCTATAAGTAGGAAGGGAGAGGAAAAGAATAAGAGCAGGATCTGGAAGGAGGAGACTGCCTGGACTTCAAAAGAATTTAATGTAAAATCTCAATAAGACTTCTAAAAGATACATTTTAACTGGAACTTTGTAACTAAATAGTAACTCCAGGAAGAGAAAGTGAAAAAAGAAGAAAGTGTAAAAAGAAACAGCTTGTGTGTATTTGGATTGCTTGGTGACTTTGGGATTTTTGGATATTATATTTGAATGACTAAAAACAACTGGGTGGTTGTTTAAAAAAAATTACAATGGCACTATCTCTGGATGAACTGAAAATGGAATTTAAAAAATATAAAGAAGAGACACAAGAAGGGAAGGGCTCCTTTGGCTCCGTTTTTCAATTCTTAGAAATGGCAATTCGTAACTACGAGAAACAACAAGAAAAGACTACGCAACAAGATTGGGACAAAGAAGAAGCCATCTTTAATGAACAAGTAACTCTATCTGGGGAAGAAAGGGGAAAGGGGGGAAAGAGAATGGAGAATTTAAGACTTAAAAAAACAACCAAAAAAGGGAAAAATAATTTGAAAAGTGGATATAATGTTGGAAAGCAACAGAAGAGGGGAATACAGAAGAGGAAAATGGAGGTGGAGAGACAGGGGGTAAAAAGGGGAGAGAGAAGAAGAAAGGGAAGAAGGAAAGGAAGAGAAGTTACAAAGGTTTGGAGCAAGATGTAAAGAAACAGGACCTATTCAGAGATAATGGGTGAAAATCTAACTGAAAAAGGGATTCTGTGAAGGTACATAAGATGGTATTTTTATATTTTTAATAGAAATAATGTTAGAAAATTGGAAACAACATATGATTAAAAAGAGGAATAAAATAGTCAGTGTAATTTAGTGAAATTTTTGTGAACAAAATAAATGAAATAAAATAAATGAGAGAATTGAATGAAGAAGGAACGGGAACATTTTAATTATTCAATGTTTTATAACATATAAGTGAAGTGGGGGGGAATTAACTATGGAAAGTTTTTAAGTGTTCCCATAGAAGTATGATATTTATCTGAAAAGTAATGTGTAAAATGTTAAGATTTAAATGAATATTAATATTAATGATAGAATTGAATTGGTATGGATTGTTGTTCTAATTATATTATACATTTAATAATTTTTTCTTTTTTTAAAATACAGTATGTAGTTTTAGAAAGTACCAAGCAGAATCCGAATGGAAGTTATGTATTATATTAAGTGTTATAATTTTAGGGGAAAGATATAAAGGCGTCATACTCCAATCAGTGATTACAGGAGAAATTTTGTTTAATGAGAAAAGATAGTAGTTGAAACAGGACAGACAAAGAATATAAGCACAATGATTTGAATTGAGATGAAATAAATAAAATAAAATTAAGAAAGTTAAAAGAGGGGAGAAGCTATATTGAAAATGTAGAATAGTAATAAGATATGGAATGGAATATAAAAATGAGCATGGACTTGAATTTGTGTCTGTACGAAGAGATGTAACCCGGGACTATGCTGCTTTCAAAAAAAGATGTTTATATTTTTTATGTTTTATGTTTTGTTTGTTTATGTTTGTTTTAAAAAATCAATAAAATTTTCAAAAAAAAAAAGATAAAAATTGCTTTGCCCAAAACAATTGGAAAACCATTAAAATTCAGAACCACTCTGCTCATGTTTTGTCTTTTGCAAAGAAACCAATGGTGAAAAGCAGGATGAAACACTTGACCTAATAGAAACATGGCCAGGGACTGTCTATTGACTTTTGAGTTAAAATCTCCCGAGCCAGAATTGCATCATAGGATACTGAACAACTATCAAAATTTTATTTACTACTTTTAAGACATTCTGGACAAATAATAAAAAGGGGAGTCACTGAAACAGAGCAAATGACTTAAAACTGGGGAAAGCGAGAGAAAAAACAACTTTTTTTTTTGAAAGACTGTGAACTTTATATAGATAGTCCTCAGCCCAAAATTTCTGTTGTTGAGCAAGACAGTAGTTAAGTGAATTTTGCTGCATTTTATAACCTTTCTTGCCAGTTGTTAAGTTCATATCGCAGATACTAAGGGAATCTGGCTTCCCAATTGACTTTGCTTGTCAGTAGATCACATAATGTGATCAAGTGGTCCTAGGACATTGCAATTTTCCTAAATATGAACCAGTTGCCAGGCATCCAAATTTTGATAATGTGGCTTTGGCGATGCTGCAACGGTCTTAAGTATGAAAAATAGTCATAAGTCACTTTTTCTGGTGATTTAACTTTGAATAGACATTAAACAAGTGGTTATAAATGAAGGACTACCTATCTAGAGATTTGGTGAAAGAAAACAAATGACATGATTCATGGATTTGAGGATTGAAAAATATGTGAAAAAAGTGACAGGTTGAAGGGATTTGTATAACATCTAAAAGGGAAGGACTATAAGATTATACTTATTTGTTGGAGAGAAGATTGGGACTTTCTGTTAAGGTATTTCATAACTTTAGTTTCTTTCTTGCACCTATTTCTTTTTTTTCCTTTCACCTTTACATTTGACTTCTACTGTATGTAAACTCTCAATAAATATAAATAAATAAAAAAGGAAGGAAAGTAGATATGGTGAACTACTGATCAGTCAATTTGACATTCAGATACTAAAATTCTAGAATTAGGGCTGGAATAGAGAAAGGTATTGAGAAATGGATTCTGTATTCTTAAAAAGCTTCTATTAATGACTTGGAAAAAGAGAAAGTGCTGCAGATCACACAAAATTGGATAGGACACTTAATATTCTAGAAGGCAGAAATAAGAACCAAAGCAATCTTGTTAAGTCAAGGAAACAGATGGGAAGCAAAAGATTTAGAAAGAGAAAAATGGAAAGTTATGCAATTAAAAAATAGAAATTAAATACACAGGTGATACCTGATAGTAGTACTTAAAAATACTTTGTAGTTGATTGCTAAACGAATATGAGTTAGGAGTGTGAAATAGCTTTAAAAAAGTAAACTATTTTAATTGCATCAGCAGAGGCATAGTTTTCAAATCACAGGAATTAATACTTTATTTCTTTAATCCCTACATCAAGTATTATATCCAGTTTTGTATAACAAAATTTAAGACCACCTGTATTATGTTCAGGAAGAGGAACAGGGATGATTGACGACTATAAATTAAGTCCAACTGAGTTTGACAGGAGCATGATTGTTTTACCTAAAGAAAAAGTGAAGGATAGCAATCCTCAAGAATGTGAAAGGATATCCAAGAAAAAAAGATCAAAATATCTTTATTATCATCCCAAATGCAGAATACAGAACATTGGATTTAAATTATATCAATTGTAATTGAATTTTAAATGTTTGAAAGAGTATAAATTTCAACTATTTAAGAATGGAACCAATTATCTGACAGGTTGGTAAGCAATCTACCATTTGATCCAGTTCTGAAAAGCAGGCTAAAAAGCTTGAACCTAATAGTCTGTAGAGATTCTCAGTCATCCAGGTCATAGTTGTCCCAAAGATGTTTTTTCAGGAGACAACTGGACTTTCTTGTTTTTTCCTTTTGAAGGTGTTTCACTTCTCAACCAAGATGCTTCTTCAGCTAAGGACAGTGGGGAATGGAAGAATTTATATTCCTTGCCAATTACCAGCTGCTAAATGTCTTCAAAACAAAAAACAAGAAAGTCCAGTTGCCTCCTGAGAAAGCAGGAGGGACTTTGGGACTTGAACCTAATAGAAATAGAGCCAGGGATTGTCTAGTGACTATAAGTTCAATAGATTCAAAGATCAAATCAAACAGAAATTGGACAGCTTCTCTATATCTTATTTCTGTAGTTTGATGGTCAAACTGGCTATTTCCAATACTTTCATTAGCCATACAGGAGCAAAATGGACTGATAGTTTTGCTTAATATAAGGCGATTTGGCTATCAAGGCATTCCTTCCATCAGATATATTTATTTATTTAGAAAGGCCTATATACCACTTTTTACTTGACCTTCCAGAGTAGTTTTCAAAGCCACAGTAAAAACCTAATAAATTTAATTACACACACACACACACAATCGCATATAGAATGTATTAAAGAGATTATTAAGTATATTTTTTTATATCTGCTTAGGCTTACAGTAGATGCCCTATTACTTAATGAGACTTACCTTAAGAAAACAGCCAAGGAATTTATACACTTTACATATTTCAAATGCTTGAGAAAATAAAAAAATGTTTTTGTAGCTTGCTATTAAAATAAGAACACTAGGAAGATACAATTGATAAAAAGAATGTTTCTGCATCCAATAGAATCGTGGTGAATATGATAAAATGCAGGTTAAATTTTATAACGGAGAAGAGATGTGGGTAGATAATATGGCATGATGTCATTAAATGAAAATCCTTGACAGTTCCTCTACTAAGGACTGATTCTTAAACATAACGTTGAGGATCTCAATATGGATGTCTCAACTGCGTTGTGCATGGAGTAACTTGTTCCTTCTTTCATTCAACAGGATCAAGACTTTTTTCCCTTTTTAAAGAGACTCCTAAGATCCACAAGATGGTATAATTCATGTTCAACAAAGAGAGAATTTGAAACCCAAGCATAAATACTGTGTGCTATGTTGTGGTAAATAAAAATTAATCATTCCAAAGACATACATAGTTAAGTCCAAGCATTTATATTTGGGGTGCACACTTCTCCAAAGAAATGCTTTTTCTACAATCTAGAATTCCTGTTCAACACTTTTGCATTTCATATATAGAATAGGGGGTTGGATAAAATTCAGAATAAAAATTAGCATAAAATACCCTGCGTTTGAATAACTTTTTGGATTAATACAATTCATAAGAATATAAGAGACAAATATTGAAAGATTTTCCAGTGCACTGTAAGTTTATTTCATTTACGATCATAATGATCTAAAACTAATTTTTAATTGCAAGTAAATGACAATGCTATAAACCGTACTATTATTTTAAAATAGTAGCCTGAAATTTTTTTAAGACCAATCAAAATGTGAGAACTTAGAATGGCTTAGAAAGGATAACAGCATTCACATGAATTTAATATATTTACTATATTAAATATGAATTCTACTTTTTTGAAAAAATGTGTGTATTTGTGTTCAGTTTTTCGATTATCACTATAGCAATCAACCAAATCAGAGGCAGAAGATTTTAAAACACAACATTATTCTGGCATTCTATATCATGTACTCAGAAGCCATCAAAAGCAGAAGAAAAGCAAAATAATTGAGGGGAGGGGGGGGTTGAAAATGAAACATTTGCCAGAAGGAAGCAGCTTTAACTCTGCAGTAGAGCAGATGTTTTGCATCATAAAGTCTAATGTTCAACCATAGTGCTTAAAAACAGGTAAAATGCCTGGAAAACAGAACTGGTCATAGTAACAATATTGCATAGTAACAATATTGAACTGCTTCCAAGTAATATAGCTTCAAACCCTTTAAATTTTTAACAACAGCAAGCTATGTTAAAATAAAAACTAACATCCCAAAATATCAATGTTATATTGCTATGTTATTTTACAAGCCTGGGAACAGGTTATGAATTAGAAAAAAAAACCCTATACTTTACATATAATCAATTAAATTTACTCCGAAGTTGTTGCTTTTAAAGCATTGAAAAGAAATACCTTTTACTAAAAAAAAACACAAAGAAAACATGTTAAGGTTTTGAGCCTAGGGTACCTAAGACAGCATCTCACCCTAATAGGATTGGCCTATCCACTGGTGACAGAAGAATCGGCATGCTGCAGACCCTGTTAGTCAAGGAATTCTAGTTGACAGGGTCCAGGAGAAGGGCCTTTTCTGCCATGATTTCCACCCTCTGGAACATCATGTTTGTTGAAAATGTGCCTCCATCCTCTTGACCCTGTCATAAGAATCTCAAAATCTGGCCATACCAATTGGCCATGGTGGAATTGATTAATGGTCTAGGAAGAAGATCCTACCCACCAGCCCATTATATTCTGGCTTTAAATTTAATCTTTGTTTATTTTAATATTTTTTTCATGTTTGGTTTTATGATCTTAAGTGCTTGACAATAAGATGGCTGGCATGTACATTTAATAAATAAAGGTGTATTTATCTTTTATTGGACTGTTTTCATATTTATTAGATATTTATTGTACACTGCCTTTTTATACAGGTGCCCTATAAATTTGATTATTAAATAATAAAACAACATTTTAAAAAGTATAGAATTTATTTGCTAAATAGTTACGTCTGGAACATTAATCTATTTAAATCAATCACTCGAAGAGTCTTTTATTAGTCAGATAGAAAGATAAGCAATACATTTTGAGGCTAGAATCTTCCTGAGATTCCTATGAGACAAAGTTTAGATATATTTATTGTCAGACTCACTTGCATTTTAACTTTTCCCTCCTTGCTGTTTGTTCTCTTTTAAAATTATAATTCCAATTATACTTATATTTCCAGAATTGAGATAAAATACAGTAAATGCTCCTTCTAAGGCATTTACTGAATCTGCTACTGCATTGGTAGCTGTGGCATACTTCCCAATGTTCAAGAAATGCCATGTGTCTCTGTGATTTCACTTTCATCACTTCATCTAGTTCTGTGGGCAAAAATAAAACTGCTGGCAACTCAGTCATCAAGACACTAAAAAAATTAAGAGCAGTTTGTCTCTTCAACAGTTTGTCTCTTCAACCTTTTGGCATGATCAAAACATTTTTTTCTGCAAAGGAATATATAAAACTTGGGTCCTTCGCTACGAGAAAAAGATGTAGCAACTCATGATTACTGAGGATGATTTATTATCTTTTTTCTTAAGCTACAATGTTGACCTCTTGATCACCATTGCTATATGTATTGTAGAAATATATTAAGGGGAAGCCATTAGTTAACATCAGAGGACTTTAAATTTGTCTGACAGCAGGCTTTGAAGTAATTGTGCATTTTGCATAGGAGTAGCTGTTCTAGCTAAGTGAGACATATCAGATTTGTTAGGAGAGAGTACAATTAATAAATGAAAAAATACTTATAATCATATACTACAAAGGAGAAAATACAGTATTATAATTTGGAAGCCATAAAAATGTTCTGGAACAGCCCATAATATAAAAACTATGACAAGATTTGCTTTATTAAACAAGATTGCTTTCTTTAAATAAATAAATAAACTTGCTTATGTTAGGTTTTGTGTGTGGGGGGGGGGGGGGGGGGAGAAATGTCCAGAAAAAAATACAGTATATTAGCGAGATGATTCGTTGCTGGTTTTGAAATTGGGGTGAGGGGCCAGACCCAGACCCAGTGAAAATACATGATCCAAATTGGAAACAATCAGTGCAATACAGCTCACATTTTGTAGCAGAAAACCTAGAGAATGCCGAAAGCTCCAATTTGAACTCAAGATGGATGGATGATCAGAACTAAGAAAATATAAACAGGCATCAAACCTCTTGAACATCTGGATACTGACCTCTGTATAGCCCAAAGAATCCTTCATAACGTAGCACTTTCTTGAAGCAATCAAAGCTACTCTTGTACATTAGCTCTCCAACAAATGAGCCAGTGGAGCGCTGGTTCTGCATTCGTGTTTTCACCAGATCAATTGGATACACAGCAGTGGCTCCAACCGCTGTTAAATAAGGAGGAAAGAAAGCCTCTGTATTAAGCCTCACAGCCTCAGGTTTATTTAGAGTTCATAAACTGCATGAGGGACTAAACCAGAACATAATATTTAATCCTCCCCGCTCTGAAACGCCCTCCCCCATTTTTCTTCATCCTATGCAATATCATACTTTTTCTGAATTTCAACTATTTTATTCTTCTGCCCTTGGCTTTTATTTGAGAGGAATAAAAAAGGTGAAAATTGTACAAAATGTTAGGGATTAATGACAAAAAGCGTAGGGGAGAACGTCTTCTGCCTTTCCTGGAAGCTCCCATTTCAAGATCAATTTCTTTTGCTTGAGTTATGAGTCAAAACTGATGACAACCTCCCCCCCCTCCAGGATCTGAACCCAAACTGCATGGGTTTTAGCAATCATTCATTTAACAACCAGTCATAAGAAAAGTGCTGTTTTTAAAGTTAATTAAGGACAAACCAAATATCCTTTTTCTCTGTTAACTTTTAGTTTAATGAACAGATGAAAATAAGAATGAAACAAAGGACTTTACAACTAAGATGTTATATATTAAGAATGACACTATATA